TTCCCATCACCGGTCGGATAGAAAGACTTGTATCCGCCCGGCCACGCACCGCCCTTCCCTAACTTAGGGTTAGGGTTTACCCTAATTAGGGTTTCTCCCAATTAGGGTTTTCAGGTTTTGCGCGCGACCGCACGCCACCACGTCCGACTTCTCGAGGCAGAAAATTTTCCGTCGGTTTGTAGTCAGTTAAAAGCCGGGTTCCAACGGATCACTTTTGCCGACTTCTGTTTCCCTTTTATTTTTATAAAAATATAAAGAAAATCACTAATTCCTCTTAATTTTTCTCTCTTTTCCTGTCTGTTGGCGGTCACCACTCGTCCTAACGGAGTCCGTTTTCCCCGACTAAGGTCTCAAAATGTCGGGATAAATACAATGACCAACTTTGGTCCGGGCGGGGTTCACCTAATTTCGCTTCTTTTCTTCGTAATTAAAATAAAAGGAAATTCATGACTTTCGGAATTTTAATTAAAAAAATACAAAAAATTTCATATCTCCTTTTCTAGCCATTAAAATTTTTCAAAAAATATCTCAAAACGTTCTCCTCGATGAGAGGTCGAACTTTGCTCCCAGTGCGCCTCGCGCAAAAAGGCACGGATCAAGAGATATCGAGGAAAAACCAATTAAAAATTTTTATCCATTATTTTTTAAAATTTTAATTAGAAAAATACAAAAAAATTCATATCTTTTTTTTTTAGCCGTTAGAATTTTTCAAAAAACGTCTCAAAACGTTCGCCTCGACGAGAGGGCGAACTTTGCTCCCAGCGCGGCTCGCACGAAAGCGCACGGATCGGGAGATATATATAAAAAAAACTAAATAAAATGATTATAAAAAACAAAACTAATCAAGAAAACAAGCTAATTAGTGTTTGACTAATCGGCCCGTGCACCCCCGTTGGTTGGGTAAGGCCGCGGCCTTGGAGGTGCTGCTCCCCTCCCCGGCAACGACGCCAAAGTTGTGAGGAAACCCGGGGAAGGGCGCCTACCGTTCGCTGAAGCCAAGGGCTAAGGCGCCTGTCACTTGCAGCGCCCGCTTCCGAGGTCCTCAACGACCAGCAGGGTTCGAAGTCGGGAGCGTCCTGTTACGCTCCCTTTTTTTCTTTTTCTTCCTTTTTGTAATTTAGCAGCTTCGATCAGCAAGGAGTTCCAACAGTCAACTGGTATCGCTCAACAGTACGTTTCAGCAGTCAATTAATAATTCAGCCAATTGGTATCACTCAACAGTACGTTTTAGCGACTAGGGAGTTACAACAATCAACCGGTGTCACATAGCAGTGCGTTTCATCAGCCAATGGATAGTTCAGCC